TTTTTTTGAATAGGTATTCAAAAAAAAATTGAAACAAAAATTTGTTAACGATGTTAATGAATTAAATTCTTTTAAAAAATTTTTTTTTTTATTTTTTCTTTATTTTTAACAATTATCTTATTAACTCTATAAACTATCCTATAAGCTTATCTATAGTTTTGATTTTTTTTTTTTAATTTCTTTTTACTATTTTCTTTTGATTATAGATTAGTAACTAGTCTTAACATACTTGTAAACAATTGTATATAACTTTTTAAATGGCACAAAGTAATTGTATATTTAACCTTTAATGGTTGAACACGCTTGCTTATGAAAGCACGTCGGGGTGTAGTGATAAGGCAAGTATTGTCTTCTTTTAACCCCGGTCATGTAGATCTTATTTATATTACACGGCATTGTATTCTTTTTTTTTACTGACGAAATAAATAAATAATAAAAAAAAAAAATTCAATTTCAATCAATTTGCAGAGCTCTTATAAAATTTGGCATTCGTTTTTGTCAACCATTAACTATAGTACATTTGTTCAAATCTCTGGCTGTGCCGAGTCTATCATAAGGCTTAGAAAGTTGTTGCTATAATAACTTAGTTCTAAATAAATTAAACGCTGTTGATTAGCATTAAAATTCCTCTTTAATATATCAAAGTACAGCAAAAACTACCTGCATCCTTTCTTTAAATTTTATGATATATCTACCAACCTCAATCGAAACAAATTTTATGATAAAATGTCATCAAAATATAAGAACTGAGAAGTTTAAAGATGATCGTAAGATCACTAAAACTGTTTAACAATATAATACAGGGTTTTGCAAAGTTGTAAGTGCATGTTTGCAAAGTTATAAGTGCATGTTTGCAAAGTTATAAGTGCACGCCTGCAAAATTATAAGTGCATATACATTTTTTTGGAAATTATTTTTTCAGCTTTAAAAATGTTGTGCAAAATATTAAGTTAAATTACAGCATAGCAATCAATAATAGTTTTTTTTTGTTTTTTTTAAAAAGTTAGTGAAAATTCTTTACATTTTTACTAAAATTAGCATATTGTTTTAAATCAATAACTTTTCTAGATTAGATACTTTCATAATTTTTAAAAAATAGTATACATTAATTTATCATAATATTTTAAAAAGGCATGCAAAAATATACATTATTAAAAAAAATAAACAAATTATTTTAAATATTTTAATTAGGTAAATTCTTCTCTTTTTATTGTCTTTTCCAACCATCTTCTCATATTTATATAAAAGGCATTGCACTGATGATTATAATTATTATCAAGTGATAAAATATATTCTAGAGTTTCTTCAACAGTCATATCGGGATTAACATTTCTCGTGGATTTGAAATTGGAATTTAATATCGAAAAGAACTCTTTGATTGGGTTTAATTCAGGGGAATATGGTACTAAAAACTTGTGAGTAATATTTTTTTCTCTTAGTAACTGAAGTACTACAGCTGCTTTGTGAAATTTTGAATTATCTAGGATAAAAATTTTATTTGGATTTATTGCAAAGAACGGTACTAGTTTGTTGTTGATGAAATCAATAAATGATTGTGCATTGTATGCGCCGCTTTTGTATTGGTAACATTCAACTCCTAAATTGGAAATTAAGCACATGAGGCTAACATTCTGTCCTTTATTTGCAGGAACTGTCGAGTACGCTTTTGTATCTTTTGGATAATAGCCATATGCAGTGCCGGATTAAAGCTTTGTTGGCCCAAAGGCACGTTTTAATAAGTGGCCTGAAAATACAGATAATACAAACTTTTCCACAAAAAGAAGAAAAGTAAAATTTAAAAAAGAATATTTATTAGGCAAAAACTACATTTTTTAAAATTTTCGCGCTTTTATAACTGAAAATTTGTCAATTAGTTCTTTGAAGTTGACCTTGTTGAGCAAATTACATTCAATGCACAGAAGTGAAGGTACAGAAAGACGCTGTTGAACCATTGTTGATCGTTTTGCATCTTTAATTCTTTTCAATTGAGAAAACGAACGTTCTCCTGAACAACTGGTTGACATCAGCATAAGCAGATCCGGAGTGCTATTTCAGTATTTGGAAATGCTTGATATACACCAGAATTGTGTAGCATTTTAAACATCTTCTGAGCAATTGAATCAATTTGATTCTGTGCACTTGATCCTTCTTCATAGTTTCTCTGCTCTTCATACCAGCACATAAATTGTCTAAATTCTGTTGGAAAATCAGAATAAAGGTCTTTTGAGTACACAGGCCAAACACATGGATACTATTGAAGTTGCTCTATTGTGTAAACTTTGGAATGACATTCAGCAGAGGTTCAACATTAATAGGAATTGCTATTAATGTTGAACCTCTGCTGAATGTCATTCCAAAGTTCACTCAATAGGGCAACTTCAATAGTATCCATGTGTTTGGCCAATGAACCCACTCCATTCCTTGTGCTACCATTCTGATTACACTCCTCTGAGATCTCCGGAAGAGCACTTTGTAATTGGTGGTACCCCTTGAACAATGCTTTTGCAGCATCAGCTCGAGCAGACCAACGGGTATCTGATGGGTATTTTGGAACAAGGCATTCTGGTTGGTTTTTAACATGGGTTATCATGACATCCCAACGATGTGTTGATGCTACAAAGAAAGTATACAATTGCGATTCAATATGTTAAAAAATGAAATTGCTTCAACGCAACAATCCACAGCCAATATATTTATCAGACATATTGTTGGCATTATTATATGTCTGACAATGTCGGCAATTTTTGTAGTCGATGTCCTGATCTGACAAGTACTGAAGCAGTGTGTCAGCAAGATTCTGCCCTGTGTGACTGGATATATTGATAATTGTCAAAAAACGCTCCACAGGCTGGTAATCCACCATATTAATATAACGAAGAATGATAGTCAGCTGGTCACAATGGGTAATATCAGGAGTGGAATCTACTGAAACTGAAAAATACCGTGACTTTGAAATCTCATCTTTTATGAAACCCATAACTTGTTCACCCATCATTGCAATTAATTCTTCACAGATTTTTTTTGATAAATATGATGTGTGACCGCGTCCGCGATTGCCATGAGTACAGATGTGCTGGGACAAAAATGGATCGAATTGACCAATCAGCTCCAAGATGCCCAAATAATTCCCATTTTCTCTGGAGCCAACAACTTTATTGCTACCTCGAAGAGTGAGACTTCTCTCACAAAGAAAATTAAAAGTTGCAACACAGCGTGAAAGGACATTTCTCCAGTACATGCGCTGCTCCAACATATTGTTGTGCAACTGCTCGTCAACTCTCCCAGCAGAAAAACTTCTTTGACATAAAGTGAGATTGTATGTGCTTTGCACTGAATTCATGGGATTTTAAGAATTGTGTCATATTTTTCCAATCCTTAAATCCTAAGCCAGACAACTGTGACCGGTCAGATGAAAACAGAATGCAGGGAAAGCAGAAGACATATGTCTTTGTTGGAGAATAAACAAGCCATTCACGATCAACGATATCACCATTTGGCAAAACCCGTTTGAAGACACTAGAAATTAGGAAGCGATTCACTCTACTGTAATCCCGCTTTGTTTTTGGATAACTGTTTGCCAAGTTTCAAAAATAGATTGTTCCAAGGGCGATGCACATGTTACGCACATGATCTTTTATGTCATCAAAACTCCCAATATCATTGGGAATGGTTCCTGAACCAGTATCAGCTCCGTCTTCAAATTTTTCAGTATGTTCAAGTCCAAATGCAATTTTTGCAACCTCTTCCTTGTGATCAATACCTACCTGAGATGTTGATGAGGATGGTGGGGAATTGAAAGTAATATTATTAGTAGCATCAACCTTGTTTGTGGTAGTGAAAAATGAATTGATTTATTTGGGTATTTTCTTTAACAGTTTATCTTCATCGTGCATTTTCTTCACTAACTCCTTCGCTCGCTCCCAACCACCTTATCGACATTAATCTAAAAGTAAAACGTAAAAGTGATCTTTAAAAACGTATTTTTATGTATTCAATAGCATAATTATTCGATTTAAAAGTAATTGATTCATAAAGTCGTATTATAAATTGATGTAGAATTTTAAAAATTGATTTCTTGTGAACTGCATGATAAGAACATACAAAACCTAAATATAATTTTGATATTTAAAATAATAATTTAAAATCAAACTACCAGTATACCAGAAGTAAATCATTTAATGAACTTGGCTTTGAACTACCAGAATAAACACCAATTATGAATTCAGATGATGGGATTTCTAGAATGCACCCACATATAACCCAAAAACATTTGGCTGTGCTGTTAGAGGTAATCCATCAATAAATAGACAAAGACTCAACTATGAAAGATCAGAATTTATATTTTGTTCAATTAAAATAATAATTACAACAGAAATCTAACAATAATGATAAAAAATCATACATATATGTATAGAGATAATAATGTATGATAGTGAAAGTCAAAATGAAAGTCACTCCGTATATTTGAGATACCTGGATCTAATCCATATTATATTAGTGAGCTTTATTATATTAATATCAACAATAAATAAAATATGTGACAAATATGTTTTGATAGAAACATGTAAATCATGGCATGTTGAACAAAAAAGCTATACCCATTTCTTTCTGCAGTAAATGTGATACTTTTTTTTTATTTAAGCCTACTAATAAATTTAAAGGGTTACAATTTTATAACAATAGTTATATCTAATAGTATGTTCATTTGCTAAAACCATTAATTTTATTACTACGCTTTGTTATTGTTTACGAAAGAGTTCCACTGTTTAAAACAAATGTTATAGAATTTCAAAAATATAAAAAAACACAATATTTTTTGAATATTTTATTCGAAATATTTTAATTCGATCTTTTAGAAGAAAAAAGTTTTCACTTATAAGAATGAATTAGTTACAATTTTTGACATCGTAAAATTGATACCGTCAACCGGGGTGACTTTGGACAGCGGGGTGACTCCGGACAGAGCATTACTTATTATTCTACTTCAGTTTCTTTTAGTGATGGCGCGAAACTACAAACGTAAACTAAACTTAAAAGTGTTGTATGGAACAAGCTCTAAAGAAGATATAAAAAAAGCTATAGAAGATCACAGTAAAGGCATGAATATTCGAAAAGCTGCTGATAAGCATAAAGTCAAAAAATCAACATTGCATGATCACATTAGAAAACCCACCTTAAAGAAGGTTGGAGGCCAGACAATTATAAGCAAAGCAGATGAGGTACTCATTGCTCAAATGCTAGAAGCTGTTGCCGATTGGGGCTTTCCTATTGGAAGATTAGAAGTCAGAATGATGGCTTTTGATTTCCTCAAAAATCGCAATGGGTCAAACAGTTTTAATTTGCAGATACCTGGAAATGACTGGTTAAATTCTTTTATGAAACGAAACAATATTTCTGGGAGAAATGCTTCAAATATTAAACGATCGAGATCAAAGTTAGGAGTAGAAATGATAAATAATTTTTTTGATGAATTTGAAAGAACTTATGAATCTCTTGGTGGTATTCAACCTTCAAACATATTTAACTTCGATGAGACAAACCTTTCAGATGATCCTGGAAAAAAGTTTGTTTTAGTTCGAAGAGGAAGACGACGAGTGGAAAACGTTCAAGAACATAGTAAAACTTCTATATCTCTTATGTGGTGTGGCTCTGCTTCAGGAGTACTACAACCACCTATGGTAGTTTATAGAGCATCGAACGTTTATAAAGGTTGGGTAACAGGAGGGCCACAGGGAACAATATACTGTTGCACAAAATCAGGTTGGTTTGATATGGAGACATTTGCCAAGTGGTTTGAAAAATGCTACTTGCCGAACGTTCAGAATTTAAATGGACCCAAGCTTCTTTTAGGAGATAACTTGGCCTCTCATTTTAATCCAGACGTTATTAAACTTGCTAAGGAGCATAATGTTTACTTTGCTATGTTGCCACCAAATGCCACACATTTAATGTAGCCATTAGATGTATCTGTCTTTGGTCCAATGAAGCGTTGTTGGAAACATGTATTATATGAGTGGAGAAAACAAAGCAGAAAAACTGGATGCTTTCCCAAAGAACATTTTCCAGCTCTATTAAAAAGTTTATCACTTAAGTTGCAAGACACAGTGTGTCAGAATTTGGTTTCTGGCTTTATTACATGCTGACTTTATCCAATAAACCGTATAAAGGTTTTAAAAAGAATTCCTGAATACAAGGAACCTGGTACATCAACAGCATCTCTTTTAAACGATTCGGTTACAACTTTGCTAATGTATCATCGTGGTGCATGTGAAGCAAAAAAACCCAAGGGCAATAAGTTGAACATTGCATCTGGGGCAGTTTTAAATGTCGTTGAAGATATTGAAACTGATCTTTGTTTCATCTGTGGAAAAGATGATAATGACGAAAACGATGAAATCAGTGAAGAAGAAATTTTAATTGATTGGACTGGTTGTGAACGTTGTTATCATTCAAAGTGTTTGGAAAATGCCATGTCGACTGATTGCATTGTATGCCCAAAACTATAAATTTTATTAAATTTTTTTAAAAGATAATGATTTGTATATGATTTACTTTTACAGTTGTCAATAATTTAAACAAAATAAGAAAGATTAGTAATTGATTCTTCATAATCAATCATTGTAGTTGTATCATTATTATATGTATATTTGAAATAGTTTATCAATAGTTGTTGTTTTTTGTTTTGTTATTTGAAATAAAAAATTAATTGTTTAATTAAAAATTAAAAAAATTTAATTAAGCAGCTTTTTTACATAGTTATACATTCATTTTAAAACTCTTGATGTTGAAATTTCAACTTTTAAAATCTCAAGCTTCAAGTGTCCGGAGTCACCCCATTTCCCGATTTTGATTTTTTGATTTTTAAACCGTTTTTTTATGCTAATAACATATTGGAAAGCTGAAAGCCAAAATTTCTTCACGTTCTTTATAATTACAGTGGTTCGTTACCCAAAAATATTTCCATTTTGTATTGATTTTAATGAAACAGTTTAATATTTTCTTTGAAAATTGTCCGGAGTCACCCCGGTTGACGGTATATGAACAAAATGTGTATAATAATTGAAATAATTATAATAACTTCATCAATTAAGATAACACATAAATATAAATTTATGTATAATTTTTTTGTGGCCTGGATTTTTTGCTGGCCTTAAGGTATGTGCCTTAATTGCCTAACGGTTAATCCGGCATTTAAAGATCGATCTCCTTTTTTTCTAGTTACTTTTACATTAAATTTAAACAACTGTAATTCATTATAATGAATTGATTACAATTTTCTTTATTATTATTTGATCTTGTAAACTTGGCATTGTTAAAAAAAAAAAGATTTATTCAAAATTATGCAAAATTACATTGTCCCATGTCAATACAGATGTTGTTTAATATTACTAAAAAAGTTTAAAAGTCTTTGATATAAATTTTCTTCAACCTAAAAAATGACTTTAAAATAACTATGAAAATTAGAAACGGAAAAATTGCGATAATTGGAGCTTGGAAACAACATAGCCCCAAAATTTTTGCCTAGTCTGACCCAAACGTGAGAACAACAAGTTGATAAAATATTTTTTGTACTATTTTTAACTAGCCTAATTTTCATCGATAAATTTTAAGTTTTATAGTATAATTTCTTAGTGCTCAAAAATTATAACAATATAAAATTTGCAACCCCCTCAAATTGAGGGGGGTTTAAACATTATATAGTCATAATTTTTGAACGCTAAAGTGCTTTACTTTGAAACTTAAAATTTATCGATGAATATTAGTCTAGTTAAAAATAGTACAAAAAATATTTTATCAACTTGTTGCTCTCACGTTTGGGGTAGACTAGGCAAAAATTTTGGGGCTATGTTGTTTTCAAGCTCCAATTATCGCAATTTTTTGCAAAGCATCCTTATTTGACATAATTATATATATATATATATATATATATATATATATATATATATATATATATATATATATATATATATATATATATATATATATATATATATATATATATGTTTGGAGTGTGCTCCATGTCTGGAAGTTAGCTATCTCAAAAACCAAAAAATACTAGCGCTGGCCCTGTACTTATTTCACCTTTTACAATAAATACAACTTTCATATATATACATCAAAATAAGTAATGGCTGGAGCAAGAGGAAGACATAATTCTGTCTTATCATCGAGCCCAATTTTTATAAAATCATGATATATAAATATTATAATATATTGGCGTAATTGCTAAATTATATGACCTAGATACTAAGATATTAACAAAAACTAATTAAAAACCAATTAAGGAAAATGGAGGAAATATTTTTTTATTTTCATTTTTTTTATAATTATTAATTACGTATTTTGCCTATAAAAGAAAAAGAGTTACAAAAATACAAATATATAAATACATGACTGGTGCAAGAAGAAGTCAAATTTGGTCTCATCGCCAAACAACTTCAAAATTTCAATAATAAATAAAACAAAAACAACGTAACTTCGTTAAAAAACAAGACATATATTACTCTATACTTCAGTGTAATATATACAAAAGTATATATATATACAAATATAAAAGTATTTTAATATTTATTTTTTTTTAACTTTTTTTTAATTTTTTTGATTTTTAAAAAAGTTTAACAAATGATTTGTTTTTATTTTTTAAACTTGTTTTAACTTTAAAAAAAAACTGAAAAGAACTAAAAAGAACTGAAAAGAACTAAAGATAAATAAACAAATAAATGGATTTGAATGTTTGAAAAAAGATTTGTTTTAATTTTTTAAAATTTGTTTTAACTTTTTCAAAAAACTGAATGAAAGGTAAATAAACAAATAGAGTGAATAAAACAAACATGATTACTCTTAAAAGCTTAAAATTAAAAACCTAAGGAAAAGTATAATTCGTTGTCATTTAAAATTTGCTATAACAAAATCTTCTAATATACACTGTTCAAAGAATATTAGAATCAAAAGAAGCGCAAATCACATCTAAAATTATTAATAAGAAGAGGTCTGATTCAGTTGATTTTTGTTGTAAATTGACGATTTAATAGAGCTAGTTCTCTTTCCCAATTCAATTGAAAGTTCTATAAGTTATTATAAAGTTTTTCAGACGATTCGCTTTTTTTCGTTACAATTGTACTCATAAACTTCAAACATATATCTGGGATGTGTTTTAGGCAAACCCAACTCCTAATTCTGCTAAGTTTTGAAAACCAGTGATCTTAAAGTATGCTAAAGAAGTTAAAGGATTTATTCTCAAAACAAAAAACTTTGTTGAACGACAAAATATATAAACTTCCTGATATTATAGTTCAGCTATCAAATGGTAAAGTTGTTAATATAAAAAGTTCTTTTTTTTTAGCAGCCATTGGTGGAAAAGTTTTCGCGGAACTCACTGAAACAACCGTCTTATAAATCATGGACGTTTCGTAAAGCAACACGTACGTACACAAAAAATTTTTAAACTTGACCCACTCCCTCCCCTGTTGCCATGCGTATTTATAAGTTCTCTCCCTCCCTCCCCCGCCCTTTAAAAGTACGTGCGTTTTTGATATACTTTCCTTTCCCAAACTTTTTTTTTCAATGAAAAAGTTTTGGAAAAAAAAAAGAAGGTGGTGCAGGTACCTTAGATACTTTATACAACCCAAAAACTTTTTGTTTGCGGCATAGGATCCCAATTTAAAAAACATCTTCAAATATATATGCAAATAACGATTTTAATAAAGTTAAATTTCACACTATCCAAGTGTTTGTTTGGCCGAGCGGTTAATTTTTTGGAATGCGGCAACGGAAACCGGTGTTCGATTCCCGGTCGGTTTCATAATGTACTTTTTTTGTTTTAATGACGAATAATGAAAAAAAGTCTAAAACCCAGTGCCGAGGATAGGCTACCCGTACCCTTTAATTTTAGATGGGGAAAGGGGGTGGTGAAAGAGAATGGGGGCAGAAAATTTTGTGCCCTTTTGCAAATTTAAGCAGCTTTTTATTTTAGCAAAACCTAGCGGTAAAATTTGGGAGATTTTAAAACCCAAATGACACATTTTTTCTTTTTTTTTTTGAGGGGGGTCCTTCAACCTATTACCAACGGCACTCCTAAAACCTGTTTTTTGTCGACTCAAAAAATAGGCTTCCTGAGATTTACTCAGGGCCAGTATATATGAGGTGTCATGTGTGTATGGGTGCCCGCAGGATTTTTTGATGTTCTTGATAGGACACTTCCACCCATTTGGCATAGGTATACTTAAGTTTATTTTTTTATTTTATTTTTTATTTTGTTATAATTTTTGCCGTAGAAAGTTACAATTTATAAAATAACATAAAAATAAAACAAATGACTGGAGCAAGAAGAAGACATCAGTTTGCCTTATCACCGAGCCCCATTGTGAATTCATTACAGGTCGTTTTTTATAATAAAATATATAAAGTCGTAATAAATGCTTTCCACAAATAAAGTCCGCGGTCTTGGATTGAGTATGAATTTAACTTTAATGTAAATTTTAGGATGACAAAGTTGTTATATGTAGGGTCTTTTTGACATTCAAAGTTTGGAGCTTGCACAAGTTCCAAACTTAAGTATACCTACGCCAAATGTGTGAATTTTGTGCAAGCTCTAAAACTTAAGTATGCCAATTGAGGAGGCTTTGCAAAATATTGGGATGGTGGAGGCCCGGGAACAAAAACGCCTTAAAGCGCATGTTCCTTCCCCCCCCCCCAAAAAAAAAAAAAACGCGAGGGCACTAATGTAGTAAAATTTCAACTTTACCATCTTAAACTAAATTTAAATTTATCGATAAGTTTTAAATTTCGTAGAAAAGTATTGTAAATTACAAAAGTAATAACCATGCAAAAATGACACCCTCTCATTTTCTTTTTTGGGTGGGGGGTGTATTTTAGGGCTTTCTTGCTCCCAGGTCTCCGTCTTTTATTTTTGCAAGACCTCCATACTAGGTATAGGTATAAAGATACATAAGGT